CTGTCTGTCGATGGGTCTATCCACTCCTCTCCTCCAGTAAGCTTAGAGCCTTTCAGTGAAAACCCTGATTGAACCTGCAGCACTCCTGTGCTAAATTGACTTTAAAGCTGTTAGACTTGGCTCATATTTTATTTTACAACAACACTCATGTGTCCCTTCTAATTTGGACTGTCTTCAGATGTATACTCATCATTAAACCCTATTAAAAATCAACCAAGTTCCTATGTCTGGTCTGGGAAAACCTGCAGCATAATCTGCCCCCTGCAGACCCGGACAATTGCATTCATGGCTTCCCGGCAGTCATTCCTTTAATCGTGAGCACACTGTGAAAAACACCCTGTGACACTGCTGCTGTTCTTGTCATTTTCTCACAGATAAACAGGAAAACTGACACAGACTTTCCCCCATAACAGATCTCTGCCTCGTATCAGATCAGTGATTCAGCAGTGTCTGCAGTGGGCCACTGCACCTGGTGGGAATGTTCCACACACCTGTAAACTGTCGGGACACAAGTGATTGCCATCTGTGTTACCCCACGCCCAGTGAGTCATCCTTTATGCTCTACTAATCTCACAATAGCATGGTGAGTTGTACGGACAGTGCTGCATATTCTCATGTCCAGTCAGAGGTAGCACATAGACACAGTGCAATCAGATGATGTCTTTGTAGTGACAGTAAGTGAATGTGTCAGTATGTTATGACTGAAGTTTCTTGTGTCAGTAGGAGTTTAAAGGAAGTTCCACGGAAATCGTCTATGGTGGTTTGTCCTCCTCCTGAATGAGGTGTTGAGTGATAAATAGCCCAGGGTCCGGTCAGTATCTGACCCGAGGTCAGATACTTGACGATCCCTCGGCGAGGCCTGTAAATGAGTCTTCTCAGTAGCCATCCTTTGCTTCTGTCAGGCTTGCTCTGATTTAACACTTTCTGTGGGTGTTCTGGACCTTGAGGTCAGAACAGAGAAAGGATGGTCTGGCAGAACAACAACTCCATAGTCCCACCAAACTGCTGGAGCCAGCCAAGCTACTGATTCTCATTTTTTCCTCGTAAAGAAGCGTTTCAGCTCATAATCAGATGATCATGAGTCAAAGTCTGTTGTGAATCAATGTAATAACTTGGCATTACCAACAAATACAACTCCTGTTATCAAACTGAGAACTGTCCAAACATGAAAATTATTACTTTTAAAGTGAATTTCATGCTAACAGCTTAAATTGCCCTATACAGGCATTCACAGTTAAACCTTTTTCCCACACACGTATCCAGTAAAAGTGAGAGTGTGACCACGCCAGAACATTTGCCAAACATTAGGTGTGACTGTCTTGTGACTTTGCAGACACCATCCTGGTAAATTTCATTATTACACAAGGCTGATAAGGGTATTGGAGTGGAGTAAACAGAGACTTAGCTCTGCCCCTCCCATGCCCAGCACTAGATGACATCTCATTTTGAGTGATCAGGTGCATTTCCATACAGAACCACATTTTTGAAAACAAGTCAGATATTCAACTTTCCAGATCATGCAATCAAGTTTGGTCAGCATATAAACATTTAGAAGATTTTCTAAAGGAAGAGATTTTATGTTCTTACTCATGGGAAATTGACTGTTTTGTTGCATTAAATGAAGGACTGATAATGAAGACGGCTGTGAAAATGTTCACAGTAAATGAAAGAGTCATCACACTTTGATGCGACTTGAAGCCATCCATGCTGTGATAATATTTACGGGAACAAACAGTGATCTGTCCCTTGAAGGAACTGAGATTAACATGTAGCTGGGAGGGGAACTATTCATGGTTGGCGATGACTATCAGGGTAATGACTGACAAAAATTCTTGATATTGGGCCAGAACCTCTGAGGTAGCTGGCATAGCAGCTGGCCAAAACTTGTGACAAAGGACGGTATAATGTCTCACTTCTAACATTTCAGTTGGGTGGGGATTTTTCCCTTTTGTATTTTAAAATCGTTCGAAAAATATGGAGTTCAAAGTAACACGAATCTCAACAGGAGTCACTTTACGAAAGTCAAAGTCCTCTGTAGGCTGAGAGGTGATGGTAGTTAGTTGTAGCGTGTATAACAGTACTATTTAAATCGTTGTGCAACAAAAATTCTCAGAAGTCAAAAGGTCATTGTTATTGTGCATCACCCTTGTCAGATTATGGGTGATTTTTCCAACACTATGACCACATTGATTTAAGGTGGAACTAATGCATCATTGACGGCTGACATGAAAGTCCTCCCAAGACTCGAGAGCAAAAGTGAAAATACACCTTATGTACAGTCAATCTCCCCATTACATCGTCATTAGGTCTTGTGAAACAAAGGGCAGGTTTTCTTTTAGCTCATTTTTTCTAAATGAGATGAGAAAATAGATACCAATGTCATAGCTGTGTGTTAAGGAGTGGCTGGAGTGGCTAGCTTAGCAATTAGCATAAATGGCTAGATGCAGGGGGGAAAAGCGAGTTCAAATTTTCAAAAATTCATAAACCAACAGCTAATGTCTATGTATTTCCAATAAAAGAGGTTGATTTTAACACAAATTTTAATGTAATGAAAGCAACTTTCTATGTATTTCTGTGTTTTTTGAGCACAAATATTAGCGTAAGTATGATGTCACAGTTACTGCTTGTAATTCCCTAACTTTTTCATCTCTCAGTTTTACATTTATGTTTTGGTTTCTGTTTTAACTAACGGGAGGTGTAAATTTGAAACCTTCACGGATGTTTGTGCCAATTTTTACTTTCACAATCACGCACATGATCACTTACCGCCAATCTCAGTGCTAACATACGCTATGCTAACTACATCCAGGCTCCATTGAAGGGCTCTGGTTACAGCTCTGTATTTACCACACACACACAAAAGACATGTGAATCTTATTATCCCCACTTGTTCAAGAATGTTAAACTATTCCTATAATATAATCACTTCCATCGTGCAGCACAAAATATATACGTCTTTGTTGTGTCACACTACGTGGTGGGAAAGCACTGAGGCTAAAGCTAATCTCCATCATTTATCTTACACACACACATAGGAGTTTGAAATTTGATGCTCGAACAGCTCTGCAGCCCTTATCATCTCTACCTTAATCTTTGTTTTCCCTGTTGGGTGTGGCAGCCATCAGGACCAGACAAGACACGGCAGTCATCACCGCCGCTGTTAGACAAAACCAAAACCCTGAAACTGGCTTCTTGGAAAAAGACCCTGTATGGTGGCTGCTGTTTTTGTCTATTTACTGACTTTAGGTAAAAGATTCCAGATGTCGGATATTCATCCGCTCATCGAAAGTGAAAACGTACAAACAGCCCCGATGCATTTGGATGGTCATTATGATACTACTTGTTATGAAGCAACCTCTTGTGAAGCTACTTTATTGCTCCGCTTAGCAGGAATTCCCTGTTGTTTGCCTTCTCAATGGCAGCACAAGATTTCATCAGGAGCTCTTTATACTTTAATATCCTGCTGCATGTTTCTTCCTGAAAAATAAACACAAAAACATGGGGCAACGATGACACAAAACATCCAAACCATCAAGGAGGAATATCTGAGAACACCAAGGGAGGATAGACAGACTTCCAAATAACACTTGTTGCTCAATGGTTTCCAAACTGGAAAACCCTAAAACTGGAATTTGAAGCCTCAATGATAGATGTAGGTGTATTGCAAAACACATGCTTTCGTGCTGTTTCTAACCTTCAAATAACAACCAAAAGAATATTTAAAAGTGTGAAGAAACCAAAAAGATTGGATTCATGTCCTCGCTACAAGCGAATACCAAGTAGTGGAATGTGTGCGGAATGTGCTTGTGTTAAAAACCTGCAGGGGGGCCCCTGAAATATGTTTACTGGTGTCGAAAAGACATTGTTTCTACGTATCTACTGAGCAGACTGTGGATTGTTCCTTTGTTTGACCACATCCTTTATGGGAGGGGGGCAATCAGACACACATCCGGCTATGCAGGACAGATAACAAAATGTGGTGCACGTAACATCTGGAGCTATCAAACAACCTCAAAAAACTCTTATCTGATTTTACAGATTTTTTTATTTTTATTTTAAATTTTATTACCAAGCAACAAGGCTTTGGCAGATCATACTGTTGTGTTTGGACCACCTTAAAGGTGTCCTGTGTTGTTCTGGCTATGTAGATGTAGTCGTGCTGTGCAGAAATAAATGGACACCAAAAGACAGAAACCTTTTTCATGTGAGTGCAGATCAGATACCGTCACACCCAGTGTTCTGTCCATAGTAAATCTGTAGCCCATACATACACTAATAAGGTGAAATTCATATTTAAAGACAACAAGACTATAGTATCCTGATGATAAAGACAACACCTTCCTCAGATGACTACCATCGAATGAGACAACCGACTCCTCCAGGTTCAGCATGAGCTGATCTCACCCACAGTGACTTACCACAATGAAGTCAAAGTGATGATGATGATGTCTCTCGGATATGTCGCAGAAATATGTTACAGATTGCGACATATTTGTACAACCTTTTTTTCCCAATGTTATGTTGAATAACCATCTGTAGCAAGTGTCAAACCCAGTGAAGCATCACAAACCAGGCTGGTGTTATTTTATCTTTACCTGAAAACTTATTCATTTATAATATGCATAGCTGCGTCACTGCATACAAAAACTACAAAAGATGAAATGGGCTTTAGTCTCTCCAGGGGGGGAAATAAGTAGCCATAACAGTCCTGGACTTTACTGTCCTATCGTCAAGTATTAATGTTGTGTCATTCTTGTCTAATAAAAAAAATGTCTAGTTTTATTTCTTCAATTCTCCTAAATCTCCAAGTTATTGAATTCCAGAGTCCTCAAAATTTACCAACTTAGGAAGGTTGTGGAGGATGAAGGCATGCTCTGAGCAGTCCTGCGGTTTGGTACGGTGGAAAAGAAGGAGGGGACAGCGTGGAGGGGGGAGGAGTGGTCTGAGGTCTAAGGGGCGGACCTGAGGGCCCACAGGTTTATATAGTTAAACGGTTTCCCCTCTCCTCCTGCCTTGTGTCTGTGAGCTCCAATTTCTGCCTGCCCAGCTTGTGCCTCTCTCTCTCTCTCTCTCTTACAGTCGCTCACTGAGTCTCACACTCTACAGCTTCAATGAAAACCTCCAGGCATTCTACATACTCTGTGCACTCCACTACTAGCAGCAGGCCTCCAGCCATGTCAATCACCCGTAGCTCCGCTCCTGTTTACAGGGCAGCCACTATTCATGGTGGGGGCAGCGGGAACCGCATCAGCGTTTCTTCCGGGGGCCGCATGGGTTTTGGATCTGCGATGGGAATGGGCTCCGGAGCGGGGGGCTTCTCCAGCAGCGTCCAGGTGAGTGCCAGCGGGAAGAGCGGCGACATCATGGGCAACGAGAAGTTCGCCATGCAGAACCTGAATGACCGTCTGGCCAGCTACCTGGAGACAGTGAGGAACCTGGAGCAGGCCAACAGCAAGCTGGAGCTTAAGATCAAGGAGGCCCTGGAGAAGAGCGGACCTGACTTCAGAGACTACAGCAAGTACCAGGCGATCCTGGATGACCTGAGGAGGAAGGTGAGGAGAGGGATGGGGGGAGGATAGACAAGGGGAATGTGCACGCCGTGATGTATTAAGTGTTCAACAAAAGCATGTGGGGAGGAAATTTGATGGAGGGAGGAAATGAAGGATGTGTGACCCGAAAGATGAAAACCAGGAAGAGATGTTGTGAAATGATGAATGTTTTGAGAAGATGTGACGCAAGTGTAGCTGATTAAAACATGACTGAGGAACAATACCGGAATCCTTGAATGTATTTTACACTGGGAACGTGTTCCAGTGAATACGTTGCTCAACTCCTGACCTACGTAAAACCTTGTCAGCGCTCAGGGTTACAGACTGTCTGCAGATTCCTAAAAGTGACGATTCCTGCTGGTCCTTGGCCCGGTGCCCACTGCTACTCTATGGGCCGGGGGCCGAGGGCTGGACCGGAAACAGTATGGAGGAGGCACGTCAGAGCATCAGGGGTCACAGAGACAGGAAACCAGACTGAAACGTAAATTAGGAGAGTCCGGGGACTTTACAGATCAAAGGGTCAACCAGCAGGCCCAATCCTCGTGACTCCAAACACCTTTTTCCTGTATGTTTAGTGTTGCTAGTTGGAAAATGGGCTTGAGCATACAGTATAATGATTCCTACTGTGTATACATGCAGGGTCAAGAAGTTAGCTCACTCAACATTGACCTGATTATGTTTTGTATTTGATTGTTTAACTGAAAACACAATTTTACACTTAATGGACATTCTGCAGCGAACTAGCACAAGGTGGTTTAAGAACTAAACGTTAATAAAGGCACTTGACAAGCAGGAAAACATGTTAATCATTCATTCAATGTTTGGTTCCCACTGAGTGCAGCAGGGGAAAAAAACACTTTTACATTCTTCAATCAAACTGCATTTTCCGTTTCAAAAAATTAAGCAAAGAGTCCAAATGGAACATTCCAGTCAGAGAGACATCTAATTACTGTGTCTATGGTAGCAGTGCAGCACAGGGAAGCTGCTAGTTTTTTTTGCATGTTCTCACTGTGGGAAAATGTGAACAAAGAGCATGTCATTTTCTAATCTTTTTTCCATGTTGAAGTAGCAGATAGGAACATCAAGGTCAGCAAATCCTTATTTGAAACAAGGACACAACTGAAACTGGAGGCCAAACAAAAAAATAAATAAAGAAGAAGAAAAAGGGAGTTTGAGATGTATTTCCTCAAATATTGTCTGTGAAGATTCTCAGTCATCATTCCCCATTCCTCAAATATTATCATTCTCAGAACATTACATAAGAACAAATACACTTTGAAATTAGGTTTTGTTTATTCTACTAACAGCCGGAGACCTTAGTTTATCCAAACAGCTCAGGGTCAGAAAAAGTCACATTTTTCTGCTGGTGTGAGGCAAAAAAATCTCTCAAATGGCGCCGTCGGCCCCAGCCTCCATCTGAGAAAACACAGACTCCCACGGCACCATTAAAACAGACCAATCCAGCAAATCACTCAACGTCAAGAAGCCCAGCGCACACATACATACACAATCATATGACCAAGCACACACCCACACCCAAACCACCACCACCACCACCATCCTCATGCAAACTACCTGCTGACAGGATAGATCCTGTTCCTCAGCAGCGACAGGCCAGTAGCTGCCTGGCAGCCACTGATTGGCTCGTGGACTTTGCCACCTGGATGCCTCCCTGCCATCCATCCCCTTTATCTACCGTACCGTGACTTCTTAAACAAATATTGCAGCCATCTGCCTTTTAAAAGGGTCCTGCTGACGCTACCCACATACACACATAGATAGTGATACCGATCTCTAACAAAAACCTGTTGCTGCTTATGTAAGTGAAATATCATCTTGTTTTTTAAACATGCATTAACAGTGGCCAGATAAAATATTATTTATTTTTGATCCAAAAAAGTAAAAACACATTACCCTGAACGATATAAAGTATTTAGATATTTTGGTAAATATGTTTCGTTTTCTTGAGTTAAATGGAGAAAGCTTGTCTCGTCACTAATTCTGCAGCTGCTACCAGCAGCCAGTTAGCTTAGCTTAGCATAAAGCCTTGAAACAGAGGAAAACAGCTAACCAAGCTCATTTGTTACCATAAAATTAAATTGTACAAGAACTTGCAAAATACAACAACTTGTGTATTTTCTGAAGTCTTGTCATTCCAAACACTAAGACTCTTTCTTTTTTAAACCCATTCTAGGTGTTCGATGCCACCATCGATAATGCCCGCCTGGTTCTCAACATCGACAACGCTCGCCTGGCAGCCGATGACTTCAGAGTGAAGTAAGAGCCGCCTCTAGCAATGAGAGTGTGAAACACTACGCCAGACGGCTGTGGTCACACCCTGTTTTACAGCTGAATGGGCTGTAGTATGAATACATAGTGTCATGATCTAAAGGGACAGACATCTGTCCTGTAGTCATGATTCATCACCTTTGCTTAATAGTTGGTGGAGACGTTGCCGTTGTGTAATAACTGAAATGTCATAGCAAACACAGCTGGTGGAGGGGGAAATATTGTATGCTGACCAAATAATGACCGCATACATTTAAACCTAAAGGTGCCTCAGAACAAGTCTCTGCGAAACTATATGTTTAAGTTAGGTTCAGCAAGACATTTAACACAATTATGTCATAGGTGGATTTACAGTTAGTTCAGTCTCTGTGAATGTGAGCAGCTGTGCCAGGCTTTGAAGCTCTCCTCACCTGCTCTGCTCTGCGCTGTCAGATTCGAGTCCGAGCTGGCCATCCGCCAGTCCGTGGAGGCCGACATCGTGGGTCTGAGGAAACTCATCGATGACACCAACATGAGCCGCATGAACCTGGAGAGCGAGATCGAAGCCCTGAAGGAGGAGCTCATCCACCTCAAGAAGAACCATGAAAACGTAAGTTGGATTTTAGACTTTTTTTCAACCCTTAGGTATTTTTATAATAAATATTTTTCACTATATAAAGTAAAAATCAAATTTTAATTAAGAAAAACACATTAAGATATTGTTTATTGAGAGTTTAAAATAATAACAACAAGTGCTAATCTCAGTTAGGATTGTGTGGATGTGGCGTACTCAGATTTGACCGACGGTGATGTCAACACCCTCAACTCACCCTCAGAGCTCTTGGTGGACGGTGACACAGTTTTACAGCTGAGACCCACCCAATTGAAACCAGTGAGAAAAACAAGGACAAAAACCAGAAAGCAGAAATCTCTCATGTGAAAACCCCAAACTCTCCCAACATCAGCAATTGATGAACCGCCCCAACCTATCATAATAAGCTGACTTTGAAAATAAAGTGTTTGCGTTTCGGTTTTGTGCATTTTGAGAAGTTCATGCTACTTGATTGTTGACAATTTAAGCCATGCTTCCAAGAAAATCGAATAAATCCCAAAACAAAACTACTTTTGAAGAACTTGTGGACAACACCCACACCAGGAAGACCTTAACAAATATTAGCTCAGTGGATATCTCAACAGTCCCCTTCCCATTGTCACCATGTGTGCTTAAGTTACGCACTCATGCTGCGCCATGACTGCAGGCGACGCATCCTGAACAGGGTACAGGGCGTTCTTGAAAACAAGCTTGAGAAAACTTCACTGGGAAGAGGGAGGTTTGTTAAGAAATCTGAAATATCTGAGTGTGAATCCTGTGGGAAGCCTCATCGTAAAAATGGTTCCCATCCGTATTTGGCAACGCGCAAAGCACCAAAGAATTTAAATGACTATGATTTAAGTGCATAAGCTAAAACATAACCATTTGTTTACTAAGGAAAATATTAAATTAAGTGTTAAGGGGCCCAGACGCAGCCTTAGATGCGTCCCATGTATATTTACGTGACCACAGGGTGTTATTATGGTTGGGAGATGCTCGGAGTCACGACCGGGGCAAAGTTCAATAAAGTCTTTAGTGGTGGAGTGAATAAGATCAAAGTCACTTTAAATGGTTTGAAGACTATTTCATGGTCCTGTTTGAAGTGTACTAGAATCTACGCAAAGCTAATTAGACAGATGAAGAAATAAAAGTCCAAATTTGTTATCCTGGCAACTAATTCTTCTATCCATTATTTGTTTTTCTTTTTTTTTTAGGAGGTTATGGAGCTTCGTAATCAGATCGCCCAGTCCGGTGTCCATGTAGATGTTGACGCTCCAAAGGGACAGGACCTGTCTCAGATCATGGCAGAAATTAGGGCCAAGTATGAAAAGATGGCACTGAAGAACCAAGAAGAACTCAAAGTTTGGCATGAATCTCAGGTAAATGATTAACAACAGCGTATCTATTGTGCACACATGTAAGTTCCTCTCGAGCACAAAGTCCCTGAATGAGGTGGATTTTCTTATTGTTTTAAATCTTAATTACAATTTTAGATGACAGAAGTGCAGACCCAGGTCAACCTGAACACAGAGGCCCTGAAGGGTGCCCAGACAGAAGTGAACGACCTCCGCAGACAGCTACAAACCCTCGAGATCGAACTGGAGTCGCAGAAGAGCCTGGTGAGAAGCACTCAGTCAGCACACACTTCATTTACCTCAAAATACGCTTATCTGAACTCCCTGCATTCCCAACTCAGCACTCTCACTTCAGGTTGCTCGCATTTAATTTGTTGACACAAGCTTTACACTCCGGTGACCCGTCGCTATGGAGCCTGTCATCGCAGAGCCGGGTCTTCTGTAAAAATTTAACCAGTTCCGTTCCTCCCCTTCGCCCACAGAAAGTCTCTCTGGAAGGCACGCTGAGGGACACGGAGATGCGTTACAACATGGAGATCGAGTCTCTCAACAACATCATTCTGAGTCTGGAGGCGGAGCTCACACAGCTGCGTAACAACATCCAGGTGCAGACACAGGAGTACGAGTCCCTGCTCAACATAAAGATGAAGCTGGAGGCCGAGATCGCGACGTACAGACGGCTGCTGGACGGTGGAGACTTCAAGTGCGTTAAAACACGACTAGCCTGCATTTGTCACTAAGACGTCTGTCAACAGAAACTACTTGGTAACTAACTGGAACTTGATGTTTTTCATTTAGGCTCCAGGACGCTCTGGAAGAACAGAAAACAGTGAAAACCAAAGTGATGACAGTCACGCAGACCCTGGTGGACGGCAAGGTGGTGTCCTCCAGCACAGAGACCAAGAACCTCTGAGTACAAGAAGCAACCGACCGACGCTCCCAACAATCACCACGACTGCATCGTAGCACTAACACACGATAGGCCAAGTTGTACTTCCAGTGAGTTCTCCAAACCTTTTAGTCATGCAGCACTAACCTACAGACCCTAGGCTGTCTCCTGCATTAGTCTGACTTCTTAGCTATAACGTTGTTTCACAGGCTGATTAAAAAACAAAAAAAACTGGATTAGAGGAAAACAAAATCATCTTTTATTTATTTCATCACAATCTATTTATGTGTCTGTATGTTGACCTGCACATGTTTACAAAAGTTTAGAATTGGAGAACGACAAGACAAACTAATTGAAGACAATTTCAAAGCATAGAGTCCAGTTAATTGCTTTTTTTTTGTTTTTTCCCCCCATATTTCATCGTCTTGTTTTCTTTCTGTCCAGTTGAATATGCCTGCTGTCCTGTGATTTTCAAACTTTTCAATAAAGTCCATTTTTGGAAATTTTATTTGTGAACATGGTTGCATACATTTAATAATCAGAATGTGATAACAGACAATAGGTCTCTTGGCTGTCGGCCAGTCTACACACACAGGAACACTTAACGTGTTTAGATTACTTTATTCTCGTGGGTACTGATTTAGCTCGCTAGTATTCCTCTTTGCTTTTGCTGTGCTAAAATTACAGTCCCTGTACAGCATTTAAAACTACATGTAGCTCATTAGGAAGCAACAGCCTCTGCAAATGCAGGGTTCTGCAGCGAAAACAGAGACCAGCCAATTCCTTGTAGGTTATTTTGTACCGTAACACAATAATTGCGTTGTTTGCCTCCTGTTTGTTGAGTTGAAAGGTAAAATTATTGTTTGTAACTTTCCAAAGCCATAAAATCCTCTAGTCTTCTAAACCGCTATGCAGTATATAGGTTCTGGATTGTGCTTCTCACTGGTGCTTAAAGCAACATAAACTTTGGTATTTTTGGACTGAGCATCCACTTAAAAACTACAGCATTTGCTATATTTTGTCACACAATGCTTTTCGACAAACCAAACATGTCTGTGGCGCACATGTCCAAGCCACATTTCTAACTGAAGACTTACATTTTAAAAGGTGTCTGACTTATGTAGAAACCTTTTCATTGTGGAAATAATTTCTTAAAACAGCTGGACATTGTAGGGTTTAGCAAAAAGAGCTCAGACGGGAGTAAATTGTGCATTTGTTCAGGACTATTTTTAGCTCCAGGCAAATACACAATTTATACTCTGGTGAATTTTTTCAAGTGTCATCTTGACCATAGCAAGATAAAGCCTTATACATGAGACTGACATTCAATCAAGTACCAATGTTGATGATAACACCGCTATGGCTCTGTGATTTGTATCTAATACCAAATCTACAACAGCATCCTACAGAGCACGTAGAAGAAGATGCAGGCCTCGTCCTTTGCTTTAACATCCGACGAAATCCAGAGCCTGTCCAATCACATCCGCTACACGACTGTGTAGTTACCATAGATACAGTTTATTTACTACACACTATCAAAATATAAATGCCAGCACACCTTGCTGTCTCTGATAGATCTTTCGGCAGTGGGTGTTTATGGTTTCAAAGTCCAAACAAGGTGGATAAAGGTAAAAATGTCAAAGATAAGAGAGGAGTGGCTGGAGGAATATTGCCTTTCAGCGTCATATATAAGACCCTGAACGCCACTTTCAAACTCCACTCTCAGCTGCCAACCTCCTCTGCGCCAGGACGTGCCGCTTCTTACTCTGACTGATCTGCACACTTCCTTCATGATGGAGCACCACTTAAGACGCCAGACCTCTCAAAACTATGGTTTTTCTGCAATGACAGGATTCACTCCTGGACCTGTACAAATTAGAAGGGCCTACGCACATAGTGTCAGCGGAGGAGCAGGCGGCCATGGAACCAGGATCTCCAGCGCCAACTATGGCGGAAGGGTTAGCGGTGGCTTCGGCAGCGGGTTTGACTACCAGTCCTCTAGTTCCACCTCTGGGACCCTGGCCATTGGGAACGAGAAGGTTGCCATGCAGCACCTCAACGACCGTCTGGCCAGCTACCTGGAGACGGTGAGGAATCTAGAGAAGGCCAACCACCACCTGGAGATCAAGATCAGAGAGACCATCGAGAAGAGAGGCCCCTTGGAGGGGAGGGACTATGGCAAGTACAACGCCATCATCTCGGACCTGAGGGCCAAGGTGAGCCAATGAAACACTCATTCAGTCTTGATGATAAGAAACAAATAAAAATAGCCTGCATCTTACAAAGTTACGCATAAAGTGAATTAAGAAGTGGTCATGTAGCAGGAACGCCACTTTTGCTAATAAAACACTAGTTGAGGTAGTTTTGACAAGATAATGCTCAACGAGGTCTGTTGAACTGTAGTTCATGCACAACATTCTTTTCTGACAGAGATCAGCTTTCCCTTTCCTTGTAAATGTCACACAACGTTGGAGTGAAAGTCCTTCCACCTGACTCACTGTAACTTTTTATTATCGTACCTGCTGAGCTTCAAAGTTTATCTCTCTCACTCATTGATTTCTCAACATTTATTACCTGTGGTTTGTCTTTATCTCGCTGTGATAGATAGCAAAAAAAAGATAACCAGCATTTAGGAATTACCAAAGGACATTCTTTTGTCTGCCCAGTCCATCAAAGTGGAAGCTTGTTGTCCATGAAAATAACACAGTTCCACAGCCTAAAAATCACAAAAACTATCTCATTTCTTTCAGATCCTTGACATGATCAAGGGCAACACCCATCTTCATATCGCTCTTGACAATGCAAGCCTTGCTGCAGACGACTTCAGGGGCAAGTGAGTGTCCAGCTTTGTACGCAAAATGTAACACACTCCCCATCCAGCACGAATATATCTGATATACAGCATGTGTCATTAGGATGGAGTATGAGCTGTCCATGCGGCAGACGGTGGAGGCTGACGTTGCCAGACTGAGGAAGCTCCTGGATGACACCAACGTAATACGAATGCACCTGGAGACCGACATCGAGTCGCTGAAAGAAGAGCTGATCACCCTGAAAAAGAACCATGCGACAGTGAGGAACATTGGTTTGAATTAACAGCAAAAAACATTTGGTCCAATCTAACTGAACATCGTAGTTCAAAGAGGAAAAACTTGTTTGATTACAACAGTGCAGCACTGTGCAATGCAATCACCATTGTGGCATCCTCTTGTTTTTTTCCTTAACCTCTTTGCTCAGGATGACCCTAGTAACCTTTATCAGGAAATCACTCCCCTGACTATTTCCTCCTCAACAGGATGTTGCAGAACTGCGTGCCCAGATCAGTCAGGCTGGCGTCCAGGTGGATGTCGATGCTCCTAAAGGGCATGATCTGTCCAAAATTATGGAGGAGATTAGAGCTAAGTACGAGAGGATAGCACTGAAGAACCAGGAGGAGCTCAAAGCATGGCACGATTCTCAGGTACAACAGAATTCGCCTGAGAAAATGTTGAGAAGTGACATGTTTGTTTTTTTTCTTTAAGTTCCATACATGACCACTGTATGTATTCAAACTTGTATCCAGATTACAGAGGTGCAAGTCCAAGTGACAGAAAGCTCAACAGCTCTGAAGGAGAGCACAACTATTCTGACTGAAACCAGGAGGCGGTATCAGGGCCTGGACATTGAACTGCAGTCTGCGCTTAGTCTGGTAAGAAGCCTCGTGCTGATTTAAGTAATTAACTTGAACTCTTGCCGTGCCAGTATTGTTTATGGTTTGAGATGTGAGCCTTTCTTCAGGATACTCTCTCCATGATTATTGTCATCGTTCAGAAGCTAGTTAGGTGTTCTTGGTGTACTAAGCATTGTACACCTTAGAAGTTCAGCTATTTCACCTGCCAGCACCACTGAAGTTCGCCAGTTAACACTTTATAGAAACTAAAGTGTAAGTATGACAGTGTGGGGGTTTTATGGGCGTAGTCAGTAAAGTCTAAAGGTGCTAGTCGTTGAATTTTATTACCTTCAATCATAGACAGGCAGGCTTTCACCCTGTGTTTTCAGTCTTTATGCTAAGTTTAGCTATGAAGCTGACTGTCTATATTGATATTTATTCATCATACAAACATGAAAGGTATCAATCTTCTCGTCTAACTCTCTGTAAGACAGGACAAAAAAAACAACATTTCACTCGTCTACTGCATTTTCTCTTGCACCTCTCAACAGAAAGCGTCCCTGGAGGCCACCCTGCGTGACATCGAAAAGCGTTACAGCATGGAGTTGGAGAAGTATAACGTAATCATCGTAAAGCTGCAGGAGGAGCTGTCTCAGATCCGCATCGACATCCAGCACCACGCAAGGGAGTACGAGCACCTGCTCAACATCAAGGTGAAACTGGAGGCTGAGATTGCCGAGTACAGGAGGCTGCTGGATGGTGAATTGAGGTGAGTACAGGTGAAGCACTAAAAACAGCCGCAAAAATGGTGATGCCTTTGTTTCAAAACTAAACATTCAATGTGTATGCCACACACTGAATGTGAGCTCCCTGATAAAAAACAGCTTTGGGGAGCTTTTGCAAATTAAATTCAAATCACCTTCATGCAAACGTGAAGCAGCATTGATATGGAAAGTAAAAGTGACTCGTCTGCTTCAGTGCAATGCTGATGCCATCACCTGCATCTCAACTGCTGATTTTCAGCACGTGGACACCAGATAATTTAAAAGCACAAAACCGACACAAAAATGATGACAGAAAGTATCTGATTCCAGTGTAAAAGTTGTGACTAAATTTGTTTTTTTTACACTTATGCTTTTATTTCTAACAGACTGGAGGATGCAGTTGACTCGAAGACAGTCCAAACCAAAGTGGTGACACTCACTCAGACTTTGGTTGATGGCAAAGTGGTGTCAGAAAGCAAGGACGTCAAATCCAGCGAAAATGTTGTGTAACATGACAATGCTATGTAACTATATTTCCATGAATCTCTGTCTGTGTCTATGAGTCTGTTCTTTGCACATCTCAACGATGAAACATCCCGTCTACATCTGTATCGCAGGGGACCTGAGGAGGTGCAGTGTCGAGTTTGAAGAAATTAAGTTTTGGCCCGTTTACGCTGTCACATGATGATGTCACATTCTGTTAAGACATATGCAGAGATTGGAGAAACGAGTTATTATAAACCGAAAAAAATAAGAAAACCTTGTCATCGAAAATAAAAAGAACCACAAAAAAAATGCACCATCATGCCTGTGACTGTTTTTGTAAGTTTGCTGCAGAAGGACAAACAAGCATTGCTTTCGTGATTATGCATATCATATTATTAGCTATCCACTGATTATACATTATTTCACATTCACAGTACACAATTCCCATAAATCCATAGTTTAACATTTTGGGAAATTGGTCAATTCCCCCACTTTTTTTTTTTCTTCCAAGAGTTCAGTGAGATCATGGATACTTTTCTCATCTCTGTATATTAAATGAAGCTAAACCAGGAGTTAAAACAGGAGGAAACAACTGCTGCCTACCAGCACCCCTACAGCTACAGATCACTGATGGCCACATGATATATTTTGGCTTCTTACATAAAAGTTGCATTTTATGTACTGGACTGTTTCTTTGTGGTCAGGAGCAGTGACACCCCCCTAAACCTCGGTGGTTGACTGCTAGCATCGCAGTGATGAAAAGGCTCTGAGACGACACGAAAACAATCCCCTTGCAAAAACACAACTTGCTGTTTTTACATTTAAGACAAGCCAGTTATTCCTGCTTCTCAGCTTCCAGTCTTTATGATAAGTGAAGCTAATCATCTGCTGGTCTTGATCTGGTCTTGATCTTCCTATCTAACCCTTGGCAATCATAAATTAATCTTTTATAGTCAGATATCAATTGTAGACGAAATGTAAGCCAGCTGCCCTGTTGTTATGCACATACACGCTGATGGCTGTCTGGCATCCTGCCATCATCCTCCCACACATACAAGTCTGCAGCGAGTGCAGGAAACTCTTTCAACTTCTGAGAAATCCACATCTTGACCTGCAGTTCTTTAGCCTTGTCCCGTTATAGGCCGACGGCCACGGTTCCCAGGCCGTGCCCAAACAGGCCAGTCAAGTCCCGTGTCCCTGCTATCTGTTTATTTACGTTCACATTAGTCAGCCTAATTCCTGTGAGTCACTTGATACAAGCTAGCCTCTTTTGGACTCTGTTGAATCGCCGCATAACTTTGTGTTAACGGGCCGTTCATGTGTTGTTAATAAAGATGTGCGGCGCAACGGATTTTGGTAATTGGCTGGAAGTATTTCGGGGGAAGATTATGCAGCACGAACTCATCACAATGTCACGTTTTTGGAAATATGCAATTTCAACATTCCACAGACAGCACAGTATCGCTTTCTGCCAGTTTCTAATCGAGACCCTATTTTTGCAAACTGCTGATGAAGAGTGCGCTCATTCGTGCCAATTCCCCGCACCCTAAACTTGTTATTTTATTGTGTAAAATGCGTGTGGAAGCGTGGCTGCTGTGACTGGTTCCCTGTGCCTCAGTAATTGCTGTTGTGAGTGAAGTTGTACAACTGTCGTCGGGAACACTCTGCGTCTTTGTTGGAGGACTCTGTCATCCCCTGCAGCCAGACATCTCATATTATGGTCTTGCTGAAAGAAGCTTTGCAGTCAAACCAGGGAGAGGGAAGGAATTTCACAAAAAAAAAAAAAAAATGTTAGAAAAAGAGGGATGGCAAGACTGGCAGGAGGAGGAGGAGACAGGATAGAAGACATTATGGGCTGAAGTGCATGTTTCTATTGTGTGTCTGTAATCCCTCAAAGCCCCAAAGAGAGCCGGCAGAATATCTTTCACTCCAAGGCTTCGCTTTGGATAGCATGGGCAGATACTGCTCCCACGTAGCAAACTTTAGAGCTATGACCTGAATAAATGGCCATTTCATATCAATACATACATTGAACCTAGTGCTGCGTTAAAGTCAGATGATGCTTGTTTGTTGTGTTAAATCTCTCATGAGTGATGTTTGGCTTTTTTAGAATAGTTACCGTAATTTCTGGACTATAAGCCGCTAGTTTTTTCACACGCTTTGAACACTGCGTCTTAAACAATGATGCGGCTAATTTATGGATTTTTACAAGTTTTGCCAATTTGCCTCGAGACCAAAGTGACATTGAGAGCGACAACGAAAGCGAGACTGAGGAAGTGTGAGACGAAGAAATTCTGAAGCTGCTAAATTCCGACGCTGAAGAAAACTTTTTTTTTTTTTTTTGTTTTTTTTTTTTTATATACCTCTCTGTGTGTAGGATTACCACCTGATCATTCCTAAAGTACCAAAAGAGCTTTGATTGGTCAGCTGGTTTTCTAACTATGGGAAAACAGCCATCAGTGGGCACATCACCAAATGTAACTGCTGAACAAATGGGAGATGAGGAAAGCAGCGGGGAGGTCCAGAACCAGCTTACTCCAACTCTGTATAACGGTGTCTCATTCATTCGATGTTATGAATGTGTCCAAAATTTAGCAATTTTTGGGGGAAATCCATCTGCAACACTTCCCCTAAAACTATTTCTGCAAATGTCTGTATGGTTCTTCAGCATTTGATAGCATCACGGTACAGTTGCCTTTTATGATGTTGCTCCGCCCACACACAACAAAGGCCCACCGAGGGACCCAAAAAGATCCCACCCACCACCGAGGTTGAAGCAGCTCTAATAATGGTTTTGGCTTTGTTTTAGTTTTCACCCACTGAAACCCATTTCTATCTTTTATCTTTTTCTCGGTGTCGCATTGTGTGTATTGGTACGTACCACATACATTCAAAATGGAAGCCTTTCATGCTATATCACAGTCTCACATTACAGGAAGAAAACATGCATGTGTCACCTGTATGCTGATCGACTGATTAGTCTCAGTAGTAATAGCCCTGTTTAGGATTAATACCAGTTTTGCATGCAACAACCCAATGCGACTGCCAAGATGTATCCCTCCATCTTAGACCAAGGCAACACTGTTTGTGGAAACTAAAAGGAGAGGATTTCATAATAAAAAAGGCAAGAATTTGAGGTCATACCCATTTGTTTAGCTAACTACTGAAGCCCCATGTTAACTTTAGCAGGACCTTAGAATATGTGTTTGCGCAACAGAAAAAGCAGATTTACAACCATGTAGTGGAATGAGGAGGATGTTACGGACAGGAGGTAACGATTGCAGCAACTCTTCAACTTAATGTATTAAAACAGACTTTAATAATTCTAAACCCATCTTTCAAAATAGCAATGAAGTCAAATGTTAGTCCAGGACTGAGATAAACTGTTTTCTGACATAAAGAAACTCCCAAAAGTCTCATTGACAAGACATGTATAAGTGTTTCCAGCTCATAATGTGTGAAGGTGGTGGCACTGTTTAAATTTTACACGTTCAAGATGAACTTCACATATCTTTGTTGCAAGCGTATTGCATCACCCAGAGTGAAGTAATTCATGAAATCCTCCTCTTCCTTGTCTAACTAGATCACTATATTCACAAGCACAGGCTGCCTTAAAGGGTTATCAGCACCTCTCATGAGTTCAGATAAACTGTTTAACTTAGCGTAGGAGTTCATTCAGATCTTTCTTCAAGGTCAGAGGCCTGCAGTAGAAACCGGGACTGCTTCGTATCTCCCTGTCGTTCCACTGCAAAACAGTTCACTGGCTTCAAATTGACAACACATGAATCATCTCTTGCTCACACACACACGCACACACAAACACATTCTTGATGTTTCCCTCTGCCCCACACATCTGCAGGGTGTGTCGAGTGGAAGTCAGTCATCCAGTGCTCCCAGTTCACCGGGCCTCCTCCCAGTGGGAGCAAAGGAGGGGGAGGCGTGAGGGACCACTGGTGGAGGGAGAAAGGGTGTGTCTGTGCGCAAGAAATTTTTTGGGTAGACTTGAGGACAGCTCTACTTAAGTAATGCGATCGGTGGTGAGAGGACGAGTATTTGAAACGCTAAACCGATTAAAGCTACAGTAGATTCTCTCTAATTGGCTGAGTCAACTCTCCGTGAAAGTTACAGAGAGCAGACTATCCACACAGGAAGCATTCATAATCAGAACCTACGATCAAAATCCAAACAGTTGTGCAAAACCAAAGGGAGACTTTTGTCCTCTTATACTGATGTCACCTTAAATGACTTCTGGGAACAGAAAGTCGTTTTCAAAACAGTTACTGTAAGTCATGCAACTGGAGCTTTAAAAGAGCTTAGCACAGCGGAGGTCGAGGGACGGGGGAGAGGTGACGAGGGGGGAAAAAAAAAGGGAGCAAAGGGGGGTGAGGAATAAAAAGTTCATTGAAGGGAGAAGGACTGAAATTGAAAATGAGTGATAGATTAAAGGTGGGAAAACAGGAGTGTGGGAGAGCAGAGATGTGATGGAGGAGGAGGAGGAGGCACAGAGGGCAGGTTGAGTAAGAACACAACTGGGCAGTGAGCCACCACCCAGCCACTGTTTGCTCTCCCGACTTTCATTTTCCAGTCCCTGCTGCGTGGGGAGTGAGCTGGAAATCCAAGGTTCGTCTCCCAAACTGAAGAGATGAATTGGCTGAACTTGCCGAGTGGCTCGTTCGTCTGGTTTCCGTGGAAACTAACCAAAAGAACTTTGTGACCAGAAAGTTGCAAGCTGTACACCCAGAGGACTAAGATGATTGCCGCCTATCCTCTGCTAAAAATACGGCGGTATGATGCGGATGAAACCAGACTAAAACAACTGCGGAAAGACGCTCCACAGCTCAGTTCATCAAGTTTAAGGCATCCACGGTCGATTGTTCTTTCCTTTAGTGCTCTCTGATGTCGTTATCTGAGGCAGTTTCACCAACCTTGGCATTCTCTGAATGAGTAACTCACTCGCATTCCAGAGCAAAGGGTAAATGATTGAAACTACATGTGGAGCCGTGCTGCTCTCTTTCGAGGTGAAACTAGTGAAGTTTAAATGACAGAATGTCCTAAAAATCCAGGCCCTTACAGGACATCACTATTGTTTTTTTAGTCATGGTATAAAAGACTTCCTAACAGCGTGTGCAAAAAAAAAGAAAAAGATTCTTCTTCTAAAAAGCTCAGTGCTGACGATATGGACCTTGCAAAGTGTTTTACTGAACAAAATGCAGAGTAAGCAAATACAGACTATCGCAAGTGTACGGTAAAAAAATAAACCATGTGAATTTTGTAGCAGCACTCCGGCCAAGTGGAAGCGATAAAATTGTCTCA